AAGTTATATTCCCATGTAGGAGGATGATCCTTAAGCGGGGCATTGGCAAGGTTGTAGTTTCAGTTAAATTCCTGGTACCAAATAAAAAAAGCAATGCCTCACTATTATTACATTTATATCCTGCCCCCAGACAATTAATTTATAGGTGAGAAACTGCACCTGGATTACACCTGGAAATGAACTGGCAACTAGAGCAGCAAGTGTTTGGAAAAGATGGTCCAAATACCACACAACAGAGACAAGTCTGGATTCCACATTTATCAACTGCAGCTTCTGAACACACTTTAGGCGCAGACCCATGCAGATGGCACGTCTGTAATCTACCTGGCAAAGTGTCAGAGACTTGTGTCACTCCATGGCAATTAGCCACACTAGCAATTGTAGCCAAAAACCTAATCCTGTCAACTGAATCTGTAGAACTTAGTTTAGATGCTGTTCTTCTTAAGGCATGGTATATAGGATTTCTAGCATGGTTTACACTCAAGCATTGAACAGATCAAGACTAGCAAAGTTGCCACAACTTCTGCCTCAGTCCATAGCACTGAACACCTACGTTGATGCCTATCAGTCTGAAGACAGTTAACCAGCCTACATAGTGCTGGATAATCCCCATAATATTGCTACCTGTTAGTGGGATTGCAAAAGCAAAAGATGGCAATTCCTTGGACCAATTGCAGTGGCTTAGAAAACCTAGTTGTGTGAACTACCTGCTCAAAATATTTCCTTTGAAATAAAAACATAGCAAAAGAGCTTTGTTTTACCTTTACTGACCATATATGCCAACCAATCAGTAAGACTTATTCTAAGTAGGCATGTTTTGGATTGGGCCATTCATGTGATCAAAGGGGTTAAAACAACGGTTAAGGTACTATCTCTATACTAGTTAAACTGGAATGGTAGGGCCTACACTAGTTCCGCTGCATTAAGTAAATGGGCTTAAGTCTAAGTAATCCAGTCAAACTGGTTTGAAAAAGTAACATAGTGATAGACATGAAACAGGTTGGTTATAACTGAGCCATGAACTCAGTTCAGTAACGATCCCATTCTATCTAAGACTGACCCTTCCCTGGCCGGGGACTATAGCCATTTAACACGGATTTGCTATGCAAAGAAACAGCAGGCTCACCTTTTCATTATGTGGGAGGAAACTATTGACCAGCTAATTGCTGACGAGCCAGCTCTTGCTAAAGGGGCAACTAAAAGGAACTGCTTGCCATTCAGCTGTTGGCCACAGTCCTACCAACATTTTGTTTGGGGGGGGGGGGCGCTTCTTCGCAGCCATTTCCCCTGTGGAGGTGAAGATAAGCATTAAAGTTGCGAGGCAAACTTCTTTGGAAAACTTATCCCACAGAAATTAATCGGCTGTACTAACGACTAAACGTGGTTATGGTCACCCTGCGAAAATCCAGGCTTTTAGGGGGCTGGAATTTAGGCGCACGATCAATGCCATCATAGATCGGGTGACTGGTGAAGTGCTCATCTCGGACATCCAAGCCAGAATCTAAACACCCCGGAGCTTTTCACCCGCTTCTCCTCCGCATTCTGCTCCCTTCTCGACACGGTCCTCAATGTGACGTCATTTCATTCATACCTCAGTTTGCAGAACAATCTAGAGTCGACACTGGGATCCTTTAAAGTGAGACTCAACAAAAGGTGAGGGAGAGCCGGATGTTCCAACTACGACGGTCGTTTAATAAGTACATCAAAACAGACGAGTTGATTAAAGAACTCATGCTTAGCCTAACTGAATCTCTCCACTTGTTTCTTTTTCTTACATAAATATTTTCTTAATCATGTTTCAATGATGAGCTTTTATTGTATCGAGTAATCTTTATAGGGATTGTTTAAAAATAATATATCCCCTTCTCGCCAGTTGTCGGTGGTGCAGTCCTTTTTGACATTCCGCTAAGAAACCTGTCCGCTTCATCAGCTGCAGGATCTAAGGACACTTCTGGGTCTTAAAGCACTTCAGTTACAGGGCACCCAAGTTTCTTTCCCATACGGGGGTATGGCGCGTACCGTTTTGCACCCAGCGGCAATTCCTCTGCTTTTTAGACACCTGTATTTCCACACTAGACATAGAAAATGAAACATAAAAATAAAGGCCTACAGAACTTAAAGGGGGGGAGGGATCCTGCTAAAATGATGCATTTTATAGAGGAATCCTATGCAGCTACTCAGTTTAAATGGACATATTCCCACTTACGTGGGCATAAAGTCACTTTGGAAGTGTTTTACAACCATGTTATTATCAAAAATCGCTAAACTTCATTACACATGCTTGGTGGCTATAAAGGCTACCAATAGTCGAGAAATGAATTGAAATTCTTAAAAGTTCAATATTTATACATTCCATTTTAAACTGTTTTCTGAGCTGAAGAATACATTTACCATTCTTCATAAAAATACTAAGCATACTAAGAAACAGTTTATAAAGAAAATTAGAATAGTGATTTATAAAATACTTTTAAGCATGACACCTGATCAAAAGCCTGCAATATCTGAAAATGTTCACTATTTATACCTACTATAAAACTATACTTTGAACAAACAATAGCAAAGTTTTAGTTGAATGTTATCTTGGACCCTGCTTGTGAGCATCCAGAGGATTTGAACAGCTACTGTTGGAGACAGAATACTGGATCAGAACATAAGAAAAGCTGTTCTGGATCAGACCAAAGGCCCATCTAGTCCAACAATTGGTACACATGGTGGCAAAACAGATGTCCACAGAATCCCTCAAGGAGCAGGGTGCAAAACCTCCTCCTGCTCAAGCTCCTCAGCAACACAATCTTAGATTTGCCTATGTAGAAGTTAAACCTGTCCTATTCAATAGGTCTTATTCCCAGTACAGTGGATTTAGGATTGCAGCCCAAACAGCAACCCTATGCACACCTGCTCAGAAGTAAGTCTTAGTGCATTCAGTGAGAGTTTTGCTTTGAATGATCCATCAAGGTAGATCATTTTAGTTTCATAATATCTATAGACTGAAGTATCACTGCAACTTAGTTTGACTTCAGTCCTATCAAAGCTATGAAGCCCCCTACTTCCTCTTTGATCTACCCTGTGTAAATCTCATTTAGCTACCCTGTGTAAATCTCATTAGCTACCAAAGGCCACTGATTGGGAGAATCAGTGATTAGTTGTGGGATTCATCCTTCAGGGCAGTTCGCAATCAGCAAAAACAAAACAATTACAGGTTTAACCAACATTTTCTTTTCTGCAATCCACTGTTTCACTGTTCCATCCTAATGAGTAGGATGAGTAGCATGGGACAGGTTGCTGTTATAGTTTGCTGCAGTATGGGTACATTTATTATGGTTTTTATTATTAATATATTATAGATTTTTAACATTTAATTAGCTGGCTTGTAGAACTTTTTTGTTATCATTTCATTTATATCCTGCTTTTTTCCTTTTCATCCTAGAATCCTTAGGGCTCTACCTTCCGCATAGACAGACAATGTAAGTGTATCAGAGGTGGCCAACTTCCCACTTGAAGCCTACCAAGGACCGCATCCCTGCTTCTACCAAGAAGGCCTAACTGATGTTTTTGGTGGGCACAGAAAGAGGACTAAATATAGAACTTAAATTAAGCACAAGTTCATATGCAGCTGGGTGTGCTTAGAACTAAAGGCTTTTTTCTGCCTACATGTATAAGATTATACTGTTAAATAACCCATCTCCAAACTAGTAATGGCAAGGAGTGTCCACACCTCTCCACCAGGACAGCATTGAATGGCAACCCTTACGAGCCTTACAAGCACAGTCACTAGCCAGGGATCATGGGTGTTCCAGTCCAACAATATCCAGAGGGACATGTATTCTGCATCTATGGTCTACACCCTTAAAGATTAATATCAGTACTTTGAACAGGACCCAGCAACACACTGGTAGGTAGTGCAACCTGTGTGTTAAAGGCCCAGCCTTTCTGGGTTCCATTAACATTTGAATGGCGACATTTACATCAGTTGAACAGTTTTCAGAGGTAGTCACATCAAATGCATTGCAGTAGTTTAAGACTCAAAATTCATACAAATGATGAAAAGGCAAGTGGGGGGGGGTAGTGGAAGGCTAAGAAAAAAAAAAGATGACTTTCTACTCCCTCCCCCACCCACACCTGGCCTTTTAACATTTTGCCTGAGATAATCCCAAAAGCTTGCACTTCTCCCTTTCTTTTCCTTGTTTTGTTTGCCTGTTTGTTTTTGGTGACCGTTTTGTTGGCCTAATATAGGTACAGGTATGAAGACTGGAGAATGAAGAAAGATGATAGGAACAACGTTGGTGCATTCAAAACATGGTGCTGGAGAAGAGCTTTGCATATACCCTGGAATGCCAGAAAGATAAGTGAGTCCTAGATTAAATCAAATCAAGATCTTCCCTAGAAAGAAATATTACAAAACAGAGGCTGTCATACTTTGGACATCATGATAAGGCAAAACTCGCTGGAAAAACAATTGGGCTAGGAAAAGTAGAAAGCAGCAGAAGAAAAGGAGACCAAATATGAGATGGATTGACTCTATAAATTTAGCCACTGCCTTGAATTTACAAGATCTGAACAAGGCTGCCATGGATAGGGCATTTTGGAGAGTTCTGATACATGGAGTTGCCGTAAGTTGGAGACAACTTGACAGCACATAACAACAATGTAGCAACACAGACTGAGAATTTTCCTTTAGCTCACACAGCTGCCTTTGTCGTTTTTGTTCCTTTATAATGGTGCACATGGTGGGTGGCTACCTGTAGGGCAAGTATCTCTTTCAATGTGGCTGGGATACCGAACGAAGCAAGACTTTTACGAAAACGTGGCGATTTTCTCCGACTGCTGCAAGCTCCGGATTATTGGATGTGTCTCTTCCCACGCAATCTCACTACCACTGCTGGAGCACTGCTGATAGCGAACTTTCCCACCGACATGAATGAATGAATGTGGGAGGACCATAGAATAGGCTGGGCGCTAGGACCGCAGCGGTTCTATTGCCGCCCAGAGTGGATTGCAGAAACAGAGAGGAGGAGAGATCTCCAGACTCGAGAGGAGGTTATAAGACGAGGAGAAAAGCAATGCTACAACAAGGATATAGCTGAGCGAGACGGAGGAGGAGGAGGAGTTGATACTGACGAGGTGCTCAGAAGAGAAAGAAAAAAGAAAAGAAAAGAAAGAAAGACGTCTCTCGCAGACCTTGCATTTCAGCCCGGCATAGGCAAGCGTTCTCTCTAAGATCGGTCCAATGAACATGTCAGTGTTGACTTTGCAAGAATACGAATTTGAAAAGCAATTCAACGAGAATGAAGCGATTCAATGGATGCAAGAGAACTGGTAGGTGATGAATTGTCCGCGTAGGGCTCAGACGCTGGCGATCAGGCGGGTTGCAAGTGAGCGTCTCAGTGCCGTCTGACGACCTGCACGGCACGCATTATAAGCGCGCCGCGCGGGGTCGGGGGCGAGATGGAGAGCCCAGATTGTGCTGGAGAAAGAGGCGGCAGCAGCTCCTCGCCTGTGCGCGCGCGCGCGCGCGCGCGAGTGCCGTGCATGCATCATGTGGGGCTGCGGGTCGCGTCTAGGTAGGGCGATGCATTCACGTGAATGGGTCCAGTGTTCGGGAACTTCACCAGCTGAACAAGCACGCCACTGTCTGGGGAAAGAGACGCCTGTTGTTTGATCTCGGCGCAAAATTATATAATGCGGAGCATATCCCGCAAGGATGGTTGCGAGAAGACCCCTTGCTTCTCCCGCCTCTTGCTTTCCCACATGACCGGGCCCACGGCTTTCGTCCCGTGTCGTCCCCGACTCTCGGGCTTGTGTGTGAACTCCGCTTGCGCCCACTTCTGCACGCCCCCGCCTCCCCGGGCAGGCGTTCTCCGCATGCATGGCGCCCCCCTCCCACTTTGGTACGGCTCGGGGGAACTGGAGGCTGCTGGCTCGTGTCGAGCCGACCCCTTCGATCCCTGGAAAAACAATGCGCCCCGCTTGGAGGCGTTTCGGCGGCTGTTCACTTGGAGCTCGACGTGCCTCGGCGAATCTAGCCGTGGGGGCATCTTCCGGGAGGAGACAGGAAAAAAGGCTTTACTGCTCCTGCTGCCGGCTGCCTGGAGGCAAGGAGGGGCTGGGAACTTGAGAGGGGAGAAATGCTGGCCGCAGTCAGCCTTCGCACGAAGCAAAGCCGAGCAGAAGGACGAAGTTACTCGGCATCGGCCACCAACCGAGCGATTGCTTTGCTCTGCTGCGGGAAGCTGTCTAGCAGCGCCAGGTGCCTTCATTTTGTGGCGGTTCCTGCAGGCTGCCGCCCTCCCATCTTATTCCAACAAGTCTTGAAATGCCCTTGACTTGCAGCGCAGTCCTAGCCAGGTCTACTTGGAAGTAAGCCTCACTGAGTTCAGTGGGGATTATTCCCAGGTAAGAGGCTACGGGATCATGACCTTCCGCATTTGTGATGGGCCAACTTCCCCCATCCCAAGGCCCGAAAACACCATCTTTTCGGCTGCTGGTGTGACTCGCTCAGGGAGGGGGCGAGAAGGAGTCTTTCCAGGCAGCGGCCAGTAGCATCTCCAGATCTAGCCTGAGCCGGCCGGGAAGCCGCGGATGCGCGTGTGGGCAACGCACCCGCCCTTCTCAAACAAGCCCACGCCCTTCCAGGCGAATGCATGGGAGGCGAAGCGGGAAAGCGAGTGACGCGCGGCCGGGATGGAGCGGGCTCAGCCGCGGAACCTATTTTTGGCCGCCAGGAACCTGTACATGAGCAGGAGCGCGGCGAGTGCCTCTGCGCATGAGCAGAGCGCGCTCGCCACAGCAGCGCAAGAATGACCCAGGCCGCCGGCACACAATCTGAGATTAAGAGCAAGCGGCGGGGGCCGGGTCTAGTCCAGGTCTCCGGGACGGACGTGCCGTAGAAGCAAGCGGAGGCTGTAAGCGGCCAGACCGACATCTGTTGTCTTTGAAACGTCGCGTGCGGAAGGGACGGCGAAGGGAAAGGCAGGGGCGGGAGATGCTGCCGCTGTCTCGGCGTGTCGCCTCTCTCTGGGGCCTCCGCTTGCCCGAGCCTCCCGCTTGCACTCTTAAGTTCCAGCCAGAAACACGTGTCCGCTTTCCGCCAGTTCGTGCTCCGCCAGGTTTAAATTTTCCACCCCATGCCGCCCCTTCCTTAAGCAGGCCGGGATTCGGCTGCTGCCGCCGCCGCCGCCGCCGCTTCCAGCAGCCGCTGCCCGGCCGAGCCCGCGTGCAGGAAACAGATACCCTCCGGGAGGGGCCAGAGCCGGGCCGGGCACGCCGCCTGCGGGGAGGGGTGAGGAGAGCCGTCTAGGCCCGCTGGCGGCGGCGGCGGCGGCGGCGGGGACGAGGCACCACTGCAAAATGCGGCGTTGGCCACGCCCCGAGACCTGGGGGGGCGAGCCGGCTGCCCGTGCGAGCGGCGCTCTTTGCGCCGCGCGATCCCTGGGGCGCTTGGCCCGATTTGGAACCCTTCCCAGGGCAGGCTTCCGAGGGGCTGAAGAAAGCGGAAGGGAAGGCGGGGGGGGGGGGAGCCGTCGCCTCTCTCGCCCCACTGCGCCGCAGGGACCTGGTAGGCATGCAGCAGGCAAGCCTTCCGAGATGGTTGCTCTGGCTGTGCTCACCTGAGGATTGCTGAAGGTCGGAGAGAAAAAGCAAGGTCAGGTAGTTGGCACTCTCAAAATGGAAGCATCAGACTTCCACCTCTCCCCGGGGTTTTGTGCTTAAGTTATGGGGTGACACTCTTAGCCAGCTCCTGCTCTTCTCTCGCAGGTGGCAGAGCTCTCTTATACGCAAACATTTAAATCAGGGACCACCCTTCCACTCCTTACCTGTGCCTCTGGCCTAGGATTCGGCAACTTGCTGCCCACCTATCTACAGTTCCTGTCAGCCCTGGCCAGCCTAGCCAGCGGGGAGGAACTGTGGGGGTTCTTGGCGAAAACCTCAACGTGCAACCCTCCAACCATACCTGCCAGTTTTGGATGACACCTTTTGCATCTGATGGACTCTAGAAAAGCTTTTATGTTAAATTTGTTATGGAAGCCTTCTGGAGGGGGGGGGTTCCCCATGCTGTTTGTCTCACCCTTAAAGTAGTTTAAGTCAACCTTACCCTTATTTTACCCAAGGAAAAATAATCAAATTTACAATTGATACAAAACGGAGGAATAGCAAATGCCCTAGAAGACAGAATGCAGATGAAAGGCAATCTTGATTGAATGCTGGGCTGAAAAGCAATAGAATGAGGTTCAAAAAGGACAAGTGCCAAGTCCTCCACCTGGGAAAAAGAAGTCAAATGCATAGATACAAGATGGGGAAACTATGGTTTAACAGAACTGTAAAAGAAAAAGACCTCAGAGTTATTGCAGACAACAGGCTAAATATGAGCCAACAGTGTGATGCAGCCACAAAAAGGGCAAATGCTATTTTGGAATGTATTAAGAGAAGTATTACTTCCAAATCACAAGAAGTAGTAGTTCCCCTATACTCCTCACTAGACCTCATCTGGAATACTGTGTCTGGTTCTGGGCATCAAGATTTAAGAAAGATGCAGAAAAATTAGATAGGGTTCAGAAGATGGCAACAAAAATTATCCAGGGTTTGCCCTGTGAGGAGAGAGTGAGAGAACCTAGGCATGTTCAGCTTTGACAAGAGAAGACTGAGGGGGGAGGGGGCATGGGATCATTTTCTAAGTACCTCAAAGGCTGTCACAAAGAGGAAGGTCAAGATCTCTTCTCAATGATAGCACAGTGTAGGACACAGGAATAATCATGTCAAGCTGCAAAACCCAGATTCAGGCTAGATACCAGGAAAAGTTTCCTCACTGTCAGAGCAATACAAGAGTGGAACCAGTTGCCTAGAGAAATTGTGGGCTCAGCCACACTAAAGACATTCAGAAAGAAACTGGACAGCCATCTCAGTGGGATGGTGTAAACTGGTGTCCTGCAACAGCAGGGGGTTGGACCTGGTGGCCTTCAAGGCCCCTTCCAACTCTGCCATTCTGTGATTCTATGCATTGCTCTCCTTTCAACAGCACAGCTTCAAATCTACATAGATCAGGAGTGGGCAGCCTCAAGATAATCCAACCTACAACTTCCCCTCCATTGGCTATACTGGTGATAATTGAAGGCCAAAACAGCAGGAAGGCCCAGGTTGCCCACCCTGACCTGAATAAAGGAGGAAGAAGGGGGGTAGCTGCTTCTTCCACATTCTATTGCTACAAGTTCAGCTACTGGGGGAGGCATGCCCATCTGTTTAGTTATTTAATAAATGTATATCCTATTACTTCCAAGTTCCCAGAGCAGCAAACAATATGAATAAAGATGTACTACTTTAAAACATGAAAAGTGTAAAACTCTATCAAATCCAGTAACAACCGCACTACCCCAATGTTCAGAAAGATGGTGGAAAGAACATCCGGAAAGAATAAAAGTTCACTGGCCTTTAGTTCTGAGTCAGGCTACACCTGTAGTAAAGCCTACATAGAACCTGGATTGCCTTTTTGATGGGTAGACATGTTGTGCTTTGAAAAGAAATCCGGTTATGCTTTTCCCTATATCTCCATGCCCGGAATAGCAACCAGCCAAAAGGTATTGTGCACCTGTTCCATTTTTACCTCCTCCATGGGTTTTCTTCTGTTAAAACTAAACCACCTTTTTTCTGTTATCTTTACCCTTTGCTCCATAGTTTTCTGTAGTCTTCTGCCTCTGGGGTTTTTTGCAGGAACACATGGCATAATACCCAATTTATCAGGATTCACTTAAGAGTTAGGCAAAGAACAGTGTATCAGGCAGCGTGTTCAGTTTTGACAGGAGAGACCTCAGATATCATGAGAAAGAGGGAGACAGCATGTGCCCAAGATAATCAGCTCACTATTTTCTAGGACTTTTGTTTTATCTCAAAGTCCACAGACCAGTTGGATCCCAGTTTTCATCATTGGGATCCAATATTTTCTAATGCTATTGGGGCTAATTGCCCATTCATGGCCAAGCCACCCCAAAGGACTTTGTATTGGGTAATTCACAGCAGTATATTGTCGATGGGGAAATCCATTTTCTCCAGCTCCTGTAAGCATTACAGCTAAACTCAAAGGGAGTAGAGGAGTTACAAGGGTTGTGTCCGATGCTTCAGATACTAAAAGCCCCGCGACCACTGCAATGTTGTGCCTAATGGACCTTAAACATCTTGTGTCTTTTCAGGATTAGGTGCAGGGAGGTTTGGGCTTCCTCTTGCTAGATCAGGAGATGTCACTTCATCTTTCCAAATGATTTGGACCACAACTCCAAAAATACTTGTCCATTGGTCATGATGACATGAAAATTGAAGTCCAAAATATC